TTACAGAGCTAAAAATGATAATGCTTATTTTAACTTTATTTGAGCTCAGACAGTGGTCTTGGCACAACATGTGAGCCTGGATCCTCCGGCACTTCCTCTTCGAATACTAGCCCGGAGTCTGAAAAAGATGTACATATGCATGTAAGTTTTCTTGGATAATTGGTTAGAAACCTATAATTTCATTATATTGAGTTATTATAAACCTTTTAATTTTATTTGCTTCAGGCTTTTTCATCAACGCCTAGCGCCAATTACTCAGCTAGACCATTAGAGCTTTCGAATGCCTCGCCCATTATCAAAAACGGCGTAACCCCTCACTTGAATAGAACGAATTCAAACATTGCCTTTGGTGATAGAGAGAATCATATGACTATAAAGCATAAACGCGCTGTCAAGTCAAGAAGGGATGGCGTATTGGCCAACACGCCGATTGCAGTACAGGCTAGGCTGGTTTATGACACCATAGAGTCTGCACAATCAATCCAAGAAAACACTCCGGTTCCAAAACAAATGGTTACACTGGCTAAGGGCAATAATAATCTTGACATAAACAAACATATATACACAATTGAGAGTTGCATTGAAAATCATCTGGAAGTATGCCAGGGCAAAAATATGGAAGAAAATCAAGAAGCTTCTAGGAGTGTCTTGCATATTAGGCAGAGCCGGGAAGATGAAAACAAATACGAGGGAAATGAAGACGAGAGGGAAGGAGATCAAGAATATTTGGTAGATGTGGAGAAAGAAGATAAACTAGGTGAAATGATTCTTCCCGGATCAGGAGAGGTGACTAGAAGACGTCAGCGTCGGATGCATCCTTGTGAATATTGCGATAAGCAGTTCGACAGGCCATCACTTTTGAAGCGACATACTCTTACGCATACTGGTGAGTAGAGGCACCTCATCTCTCTTTTGACCCGGAAAATGACCAATAATTAATATTTTATTAAATTAATTTCAGGTGAGCGTCCATTTGAATGCAAGTTTTGTGGAAAGGGGTTCTCGACCCGAAGCGGAGTCAATACGCACGAACGCACACACACAGGTCAGCGTCCATATTTGTGCCGAATTTGTGGGCGGAGATTTGCCGCAGGTTCAAATCTTATATTCCACAAATACACGCATACGAACGTAAGCATACATTAATCGTAACAGATTGATCTTTAAATTCCCTTGAATTAACATTTCTGTCGAGTAATAAATGTGAATTAACAAATGGTTCCATATTTTGTTAATTTAGACGCGACGCCATGCCTGCTTACACTGCCCTAAGGCATTCGTAACGCCTGGTGACCTTAGGAAACACGAATATATACACACGGGAGCTTGGCCTTTCCGATGTGGCGTATGCGAAAGGGGTTTCGCTACAGAACGAAATCTTAAGTCACATGAAATAACTCATACAGGTGAGCATCTTTTACAGGCACCTCAAAACGCTGCTGGTGACAGCAACACTGGCTTAATATTATTTTTATTTCAGGTCAAAAGCCGTTCGTGTGCCCAGTTTGCTTAAAAGGATATGCACAAGAAAGCTCAATGAAAACCCATTTAAGAATACACCAGAGTATGTAGACTAGCTAACAAGCCGATTTAGAAGTTGGCTAGAATTACTAATATTCTCTTTTGTTTTATAGGAACAAGCCTGGCATCACCTGTGATCAATTCACCTGAAAACAAATCCCAATCGGAAGAAGCATTGGAACTTTTGTCTTCAGCCAATTCACCAAATAGCCTAGAATGTACAAAGCAACTCTCCACCTGGCCATCTAATCCGAACAGCTTTTCCACATTGCCTGATCTAATTTGTGAGGCTCCACCCACTCCTCATATAAATACTTCATATAGTTATCTTGATCCGTCAAGAGTGCTGAACCACGAAGTGTCAGCTTTTTCAACCTACCAACCGACGACTGACGGCCAGCAAACTAGCCCTTCGAGACATCAATTGGGCTCAAAAGAACAATCCATCGGGCCTCAGACACCCAACAGTCCTGAGTCCATTTTGAGCCCGTCAGAAATTGCTTCCTTAACACAAAATGCAATAACACGGACAAATTGGGAGGCGGCTGTGTGGATTTACTCAAGATATCGAGCTTACTACAACATTTATATGCGAGAGCTACTTAGGCCTTCTAGCATTGAGGTGCCAGCAGTTGGAGGATATATGGTGCCACCTATGACAAATGCATTATCAACACATGTTCCGGTGACGGAATCATCCTCGAATATTCCACCTGCCCAAGGATATGGCTTAACCGGACTATCATCAAGCTTTTCCTGTGCCTCCCTTGCAGCGCCAGCGACTAGCAATCACTTAATGTCTGTAGCCAGACCTGCAATATGCAGCTTAGCTGGGTCGCCCAGTAGCGTTATCACAGGCCCTACTGGCCCAGGAATGACTGCTCAGGATATAATAGATATAAGTTCAAATTATAGTCTTAACTATTTTCAGCAGTTAGCACAGACTTCCATGCAGACACCTTCGCAATCTATTCCAGACCAGCCTTTCATAGCATTACAGAACGCGTCGGTTTTGGGTTTGCATAGCCTATCCTATCCAGCGCTCAATACCGTCACACATGAATCCTCAAACGCAATGCCTTCGACTGGGATATCTGATCTCCCTTCTGAGTCGTCAGGTATTGTGGATTATTCAATCGTAAATCATCACTTTACTACGGGCTGAAAATCCTTAGCACTATAAGAATGTTCTAAGCTTTTCCATTGACCGACTGCGATTGAAGGGATCTAAAGAGATGAGAGTAGGTGTCCTGCAACCTGTGATATTCCCATCTCCTTTGCCCAATACATTCCTGTGCCTGATAGCTCTTCACGATGTACACATACTTTTAATACTGTTTTATATACTCGGTGGCGTTTTTGCTGCCATTACTTTTAGACAGATAAACACTGTACAGAGACATGTTTTATAACTTTTAAATTTAAACCAATATGGCGAAAGCAGGGCAATCCCAGTTTTAGCCTGCTTTAAACCGTCATTGGATGCAATAATACAATTTAGTAAAAAATTATTTTTTATTGTTTGATAAAATTCCAGAGCTTTTTTCGGGGAAGACGATCTTGAATATTTTATCGGATGAAGTTATCTTTTCTCGTGGCTTTCCAAGTGACAAACCGGTTCGTATCTCTTCCGCGTCAACTCGCTCCCAATCTGAGAAAGTTGTGTAGCGAATATCTATTTAAGCAGAGGAAATAAAAGATAAGTGATTACGTAAATAAGTCAAAATAGCGTGCGATTGCTTGCACTATTAAACTAATGCCACTTTCTAATAACTAACATTGCAAAGGGAAATCGATGGATGCTCATTTATCGCATCATAATTAGTTGGTAAGCATTCAAGATTTTATCTCAATAAAATTTTTTTAATAATAACAGTCACCAGAATTGCATTGTAATATCTAC